TCCACACCACCTAACAAACATGTTGTTAGAGGATAATTTTGTCCTATTCAGGAGATGGGCTAAAATATCACCCGACTCATATCAATGCAACTATGATGTAGTTAAATCCAAGTGGGGGTGGGTCCAAGAAGGAGATTAACTGCTTTCTCCAATAATAATTAGTTCAACAGAAAAATAAAAAATAAAATAAAAATAAAAATAAAAATAAAAACAGTACCTAAACTGTTCAGTATGAGCAATCTTAGTATCGGTGGAAGCTGATTCTCTCTCATTAATCTCATACAATTCACTGGGGCTCTCTGGAGGTGGCAACTTTCTATTCTTTATTGCCACAACAATAACCTGAGAATCGGGGTTAAAAAAAAAAAAAAAAAAGACCTGAGGACCCTTTTTTTTTTTTTTTTTTTAATATCTTAAACTGTGATATAATGCATTATTCATGACATTAAATTGTGATATAATAGATAAGCAAATAGAGTTTCGCCATATCTGACATGTATCTTGTCGGACATACGAGTGTGTGCGCGTTGGTGCACTCTAAGCCTCTGTGAAACTGACCTGGCCCAGCTCATTGGAAACCATTAATTTGAATGCATGGATGGTGCAGTCAGCATTGAAATCTTAAATATCTGAAAATAGGCAAAATGTGTGCACGAGCATGTGACAGAGGAGATAGATACCTGTGCGATTCTTACTAGAGGGTTTTTTCCCGGGACTTGAAGGCGGTAGAAAGGCTTTCCGTGGGCAAAAATGATAAAACCAACATATGCACACACAAAAGTTATGAGAAAACCCTTCCACCATTTGTGGCTACCCTCGATTGTGCTAATGTAAACTATGACAGTGGCTCCAACTAATGTACCGGTTAACATACTGAGCAAGAGCCAATTGAAATAACTTGCAAGACCCTTGGCTTCCTCTGGGTCCTTCTGATCAAATTGATCAGCACCAAGTGCAGGAAGTGACCCTTTAACCCCACCTGATCCCAGTGCCCATAACCACAGGGATGTAGAGAACATGATTGCTGATCTACGTGTCATACAAAAAAACTTGTCACAAGATGCTGATTGCAACTCCTCGTCATGAGCTTGAGCCGTCATCATCAGTAGAGCCTAAGGAAATAGATGAATACAAACTCATTTCTCAGGATTTGGGACTTGCTATGAAAGAAAGTTTAGGCAGAAAAGGGTACTGAGGAGAAAACAGGGGAAAGAAACTAACAGATATTTCAACCATCCCAAAAATCAGACAAGTGTGGAATCTGTTTATATACGTGTCCGAAATGAAGCCACCGACAACAGATAGCAACAAAGCTGATACCATCAAGTTTGGGAGAGTATTAGCAGCACCAGGTAGATCAATACGGAGATAGAGCACCAAGCTCACTATGTTTCCAACACAACCAATGTTCTCCAATGCCACCATACCTTTAAACGTACAAAATATGGATACACTTTACAGATTTATGTAGTTAGAAATCTTTACTTACATCTTTGGTAAAGAGGATTGGATAACAATGAATAGTATTAGGGAAGAAAAACAAGATAAATTCTTGTTCATCATACTTTTCAGTTGAAGTTCTTGGTTTTACCGTAAATGAAATAAGTTGCTTCGAATCCTCCTTTCCCTCGAGTGTTGTACTCCGGCTTAGCTTCTTCTTCCTGTTTGCATGACATAATACATTAGTGGCATACTCTGTAAAGTGGACTAAATAATAAACGACTGGCGGTAGGTATTAGAAATACATACCATGGGTGGGAGCTTGGCAGCGAGAAGCTAACTAGCAGACTATGTTTAGGATGGAAATGTGAATAAGCGAAAGGAGGGTTTGGCTTGATCATATAGATAGGGGTAGAGGGAACCTTGTATATAACGTCCATTGGTTGTCTTCTTGTTCTTACCGTCATTTTTCTCCTCTCTGTTTTTCTATATATTTATATATGTACAAATATATCTCGCAGTTGAGTTTAATGTTTACTTCCACGAGGCGGTGGTAGTGGAAAGGTGATAGATATATCATATATATGTATATACAGAAATACTTTTGATCCTCGTGTTCTGTGGCGATTAATATTTGGCTCTTTACCCTTGTAGCCTCCTTTTAAACAGCTCATTACAATCTTGCATGTAAAGAAATTAATTCAAGAGGATGACATTTCTTAAGCATAACATTATTTTCACGTTTAATTATGTTGAGGCCATTCAGTTTATATTTATATTTATTTATTTTTTGAAATTATTATCAAAGATTGTGGGAGGAATTATCGGAGAGATGGACTTTTTACGTGCTTTTAATGAGTCACATATCTGATTTTATTGAGTATAATATAAGTGATTAACTTGTTTTGCATTGTAAAATAGAATTCGTCAAGGAGTTGCTCCTCGAGATAGATGGCAATAAATCCAATAATCCAATCATCATCAACTTGGGATCTCGCACTTTAGAAGAAACTAATCTTCATGAAATGACCTTATATATAGTATTATTATTTACTAGTCATATTACTCATATCCAGCCATTTTAGTTGTAGACGTGCTTACAAGGTCATGAACTTGAGGAAATTAAATATATTTGGCTAGAATATGACCCAGGTTTAATAAATGAAAAGTTTGTGGCTTTGTTTCAGTGGCCTTTTTGAAAGTATTTTGAAGCAATCTATCTTTATCTATTAATGGTTTGTTTGGTCAGGAAGGAAGTGAAAACGGGAATTAAAATTTTGGAAGTTACGGGTTAGAGTTTTACCACTACTCGATCATAAAAGTTTCACTCATTAAGATTTTTAATAAAAAAGTGAATTCGTCATGCATGTTTAAGCTTTTATATGATACGATGTCAGAAGTCAAAAAAGCTAAGGGATTGTTTTCTTCGTGTTTCAGTTTTGTAATTTTGAGTTTTGAATTTATTTTGGGTTTTGTGTTTTGAGTGTCCATTTTGAGATTATTGAAAAAGCGTTCTTTTTTTTTTCATTTTAGAAAACTATTTCGAAAATGAAAAACATGTTCATTTTAGAAATTCTCATTTTCTCTTATCCAGCCACTGCCATTTTTGCCCCCTCCATGAGCGGCCGTCGTCTATCTCACAATCCTACCACCACCCACCACCTAGACCACCAGATCTCAGCATTAGTTGAACCCATTTTCGCACAAGCCACGAATTGCACTGTAGGCCTTCGCGATGATCAACATTTGGAGTCTGCACTTTAGAAATTTCGATTGTTGAATTGTTGTTTATGGTAAAATGGGGCCATGGTTTGGGTCAGTTTATGGTGGGCAATCGACCAGTGGTGGTGTGCGACCTTGGGTGTCGTCGGAGGTGGAAATTCCGGTAGAAGCAGTTTGCCTGTTTTGGCAGTTTTGAGGATGACTTTTGATCGATTTTGGTATATGTTTGGGTTGTTCTTTGTGTGGTAATTGAAGAAGGGATTGAGGGCTTCGCAATGGTATGTAAATCCAATGGTTTTGAAGGAGGTTGGCTGGAGTTTAGAGGGATGGAAAGTGGCGGTTTTGGAGGTTTCGCTGGAGGTTGGCACAAGAAAGTTGGGGAAATGTTTTGGCAGGGTTTGGCTTCAAAACTGTAGTTCCCGTGATTTGGATTTTTGGCGTGTTTTCTACTTAAAACAGCTAAAACGACATTTTTGCCACTTTCTGTTTTCTTCACATTTTTTTTTCCGTTTTCAAAAATTCGTTTTCGAAAACCAGAAAGAGAACGAGTTTTCACCGTTTTGAAAAATCAAAAACAGAAAACGGTCGAAAAGAAGCAAAGAGAATAGCCCCTAAGAAATTTCATGTTCTTTTCCGTAAGCTTTGATATGATATGAGTATATGCTTTAGGGTCGGGCGTGGTTCGATTCGATTCTGTTCTAACGAGAATCAAATCGGACCCGAAATTTTTGGATATTTAGTAAGTGGAATCGTCAGGTCTAAATTTAATTATGAAATAGTTCTGGTTCTGTTCGATGTTCTCAAGTTTCGTACTATAATTAATCAACTTATACGAAAGATGGAAAATAGGCTGAAAATATTTTTCCTCCAGCTTTTTTTGTGAACCCCCATTCTTTCGTAAATTACAGCATTGCACCTTTTCAACAGAATTCAGTAGGGAGAGAGTCACTTTTCTTAATAATGCTCAAAAGCCTTCTAAACATTTTGATTCAAACTGAGGGCTGCCACACAAACCATTTTGAATTTTCAAAAATCAATTGAATTTACTTAAGAACTCAAATCTTTTACAGACTTGTAGTTGTAACTGAATATCTAAAAGTGAGTTCGACCATATTATGTCAAAAACATTTACAAGGTAGTTCATATTCAGAACAAAACGAAGCCAGATACAAAAAGAGGACAAGCCAATTATCTTGAGTGATCTATAAGTATATTTGAGCAGTTTGGAGCTTTCATTTCTTGTTCATGTAGTTTGGATATCACCAATTTGTCAAACTTTCCCATCATTTGCTTCAGTGGTGGTTTCTCCATTTGTGGCCTTGAATTCATCTTCCTCAGCTGTCTCGAGGAGTGATACAACACTTATTGATATCGATTTGGCCATGGTAGAAACATTTGTGTCTTCTTTTTTGTCCTTGTACCATGTTGCCCAATAGAGATGGTTAAAGAAGTTGAGGACACCAAGAATGGCCAGAAACCAATAGAAGAGATTCAAATTATTCTGGTCCAAGGTTTCTCCTTCCAACCACCTTTGTTTGCTAGGTGTAGTTCTCATGGTTACGGCATTAATGGTGTCAACAAATATAGTGCTCAAGAAGTAGCGAAATGATAGTGAAATCCATGTAAATGAAGTCGAAAGGGCTCGCATGCCTGAAGGGGCTTCCTTGTAGAAAAATTCCAACAGCCCAACTAGAGTGAACATATCGGCTATCTCGGAAATGCCATATTGAAACGATAACCAAAAAACACTAATTGGCTTTAATGGATTCTTCAAGGATTGGTGCTTTCTCTTAACTTCCACTAGGGCTGCAACTACCATGGACAGGGCTGAAAGGACCAAGCCGACCCCTACGCGTTGAAGTTGAGTAATCCCTGATGGATGCTTGGTAATTTTGCGTGCAAATGGCACAAAAGTAAATTCATAGATGGGGATAAAGATGATCTTGAATGCTAGGGCAATTAAAGGTATTGATGGAGCAGGGACTTCTAATGAGCCAAGTTTTCGGTCCATTGTGTTGCCTTGCTGCGCTGAGAAGATTTGTAGTTGTGCCAGACATATATTCATTATAATTGTGCTGGCTATGATAGGTAACATTCTTGTCAAGACCTTTACTTCTTCCACCTGCGTCACCGTGCAGACTATCCATGGCAAGGGCTGGGCATCTTTGGGAAAAATTGCAGCTTTGTCAAAGGACCTGGATCAGGCCGTGTTATCTTGAGGAATCAGCAACCATTAGCAAAATAAAAAATGCATTAAGGTACATAATTTGTATGCATCTTTTCTGGTTGAGGCCCTGTATGAGCCGCATTATCTGAAAAAAATACATTTTTAAATAGTGATTTGATATCATTTCAACCACACATTTTTCCAATAAAATAATATTACACGCAAATTCAAAACTTTTTCTTATTTTTTAAACACACATTTTCCATCAATCTATTATTCCAAAATACATTCTTTAAAAATAATGTGGCTCAAACACACACACAATGTCTGATTTAAGTTTCATGCTTCAAAATTATGTCAAAGATTTGAATTTGGGTTTCCTTCGAAGAAAAAATGAGGTTGTAACACTCGAAAATTTTAGAAAAAATTTATTTTGTTTTATTGGTCATATATTTTTAATTTGAAAAAAAAATGATGACTACAATGAAATAAGTTTAAATCTCTATTTTATTTGGGCCAAATACTTAGATATTGATGGAACAAGATTTAGTATATTAATATTGGACTAATTTTGTAGGTTTTAATCAATTAGAAGTTTTTGACTCGAGAAATAGTTAATTTGGATATGTTAAGCCTAAGATATTGACGTTTAAAGAAAGCTATTATCTAATATTATTTTATTAAATTGAAGACCGCCATGTGTGCTTTGGATGAATACCATCAAAATTTTTAAAAATAGTTACAATCCCAACATCATTAGGTAGGTGCTAGAGAATTAATTAGTTAAAGGTTGAACCCCAACCTTAAGGATCCCCCATCGCCTTGTCCCTGTAGCATCGTGAGAGATGTTAATCGCGGGATGTGGCCCAGCAGGCCAGGGAACAAGAACTGTCTGTACACTGGTGCTCACAAAGAGTCTCAATCCATATTTCAGGAATTGAATCCTCACACTGTAGTTATCAGCAAGGCTGAGTATACCTCACTCTTATTTTTTGCATTACTGGAATATGCTTCGAGGGGCAGAGAATTAATTAGTTTGTTATAGGATAGATATGTAGAAAATCAAATCTTAGCCCACCAACCGCGTGTATATCTTGGATAGATCTAATTTATAAGCAAACATTTTTAGCTGATTAGGATAAAGATTTTTTAGGGTTCATTTGATTGCAAAGGTGAAAAAAGCAAACTAATTCCATGTAAGTTGGAAAAGTAAAACACACCAAAACCATAGGAATGCATTTTTCATGGAATTGGCCAAAAACATGTTTTAAGTGTTTGTACCTTGAAATTCGAATTTCATTTCCACTTTTGTATCAAACAGCCAAAGTAGACATTACTACATGGGACATGACAATATTTCATACCCACAATTTCCCCTTATCCTATCCACTAATCGTATATGGGTGTACAAATGCAACCCAGATTTTTATTTCACACACATTACTACACGGGGACATGACAATATTAAGATTTTAGATAAAATTAGATTTTTATAAAAATTGATAGAATATGTACTTGAAAAGTTTTGAGTTCTATAAAATATGTGGTTTAAATTAATTGTTGACTTTGACTTAATTTATTACTTAACTTTTTAGTTGAACCAAACAGCATCTAAAGGCTTGTTCGAAAGTGATTTTGAGAATTGATTTTTGACCGTTAGGAAAAAAGTGGGAGTCACCTAGAGAGAATAAGTCAAAAATTACGTCTGGAATAATGAAATAACGATTAAAAAATCAATTTTTTGGGGGTGAAAAATCACTCCCAAACAGAGCCTAAGTAAGGTTAATAGAAAAAAAAACAATTAAAATCTTGTTCATAGTACTTTCGAGTCTCCTACGTAGAGTATGTTCGATACTAATTATGATAATTAATTTTTTTATCGTTAGAAAGAAAAGTTGGTTTCACCTGTGAATAAATTAGTCAAGAATGACGGCTAACTATGTGAAGTAGCAATCAAAAGATTAATATTTTGGCTTGACAAATCAAAACTAAATGGGGGCTTAACAAACATGCTGATAGAGGATAATTTTGTCTTATTAAGCTCCATAGCACCTGACTCATATCAATTCCACTGTGATGTAGTTAATTCCAAGTGGGGGTGGACCCAAGAAGGAGATTACTGGTTTCTCCAATAATAATTAGTTCAACAAAAAAATTAAAAAAATAATAATAAAATAAAATAAAATAAAATAAAATAAAATAAAAATAAAAACAGTACCTAAACCGTTCAGTATGAGCAATCTTGGCCTTTGTGGAAGCTGATTTTCTCTCATTAATCTCATACAATTCACTGGGGCTATCTGGAGGTGGCAACTTTCTATTCTTTATTGCCACACCAATAACCTGAGATTCGGGGTTAAAAAAAAATGACATGAGAACCCATTTTTTTTTTTAAAAAAAAAATCTTAAACAGTGATATAATAGATTAGTCACGACAACAAATTGTGCTATAATAGATAAGCAAATAGCGTTTTGGCATATCTGACGTGTATCTTGTCGGACACACGAGTGTGTGCGCGTCAGTGCACTCTAAGCCTCTCTGAAACTGGACCTGGCCCGGTTTATTGGACACCATTAATATTTTTTTTTTTTTTTAACGAGGTGTCCCAACTTGCGCCAGACTATATATCCTCGTTCCTGAACCTCCGGCCCCTCAGCTGCTCAGGGAGGTAAATCGCAGGATGTGCCCTTGTTGGTTCCCAGGTTCCCACATGGCTTTTACTCCTTCCCCAAAGGAAGCCTCCTCCATGGTGATTAATCCACAAATAATTCCTCCTTTATTGGATCAAAAGTTCCCACCAGGAATCGAACTCCCCACGCTTGGTTTCAGAGCCCCCCAATGTGATTGTTCCGCCAATTTGGATGTGCCCTGGGGGCTATTGGACACCATTAATTTGAATGCATGGATGGTGCAGTCAGCATTGAAATCTTAAATATCTGTAAATAGGCAAAATGTGTGCACGAGGAGATTGTTACCGGTGCGATTCTTACTAGAGGGTTTTTTCCCGGGACTTGAAGGCGGTAGAAAGGCTCTTCATTGGCAAAAATGATAAAACCAACATACGCACACACAAGAGTTATGAGAAAACCCTTCCACCATTTTTGGCTACCCTCGATTGTGCTAATGTAAACTATGACAGTGGCAATACTGAGCAAGAGCCAATTGAAATAACTTGCAAAACCCTTGGCTTCCTTTGGGTCCTTCTGATCAAATTGATCAGCACCAAGTGCAGGAAGTGAACCTCTAAACCCACCTGATCCCAGTGCCAATAACCACAGGAATGCAGAGAACATGATTGCTGATCCACGTGTCATACAATTTAACTCGCCACAAGATGCTGGTTGCAGCTCGTCGTTATGAGCTTGAATCGTCATCATCATTAGAGCCTAAGGAAATAGATGAATACAAACTCATTTCTCAGGATTTGGGACTTGCTATGAAAGAAATTTTAGGCAGAAAAGAGTACTGGGGAAAAAACGGGGGAAAGAAACTAACAAATATTTCAACCGCCCCAAAAATCAGACAAGTGTGGAATCTGCTTATATAAGTGTCCAAAATGAAGCCACCGACAACAGATAGCAAGAAAGCTGATCCCATCAAGTGTGTGAGATTATTAGCAGCACTATATAGATCAAAATGCAGATAGAGGACCAAGCTCAATATGTTTCCAACACAACCAATGTTCTCCAATGCCACCATACCTTTAAACGTACAAAATTTAGATACAGCTTTATGTAGTCAGAAATCTTTACTTACATCTTCAGTAAAGAGGAGTAGTATTAAAGAAGAAAAACGAGCTAAATTATTGTTCATCATACTTTTCAGTTGGAGTTCTTGGTTTTACCGTAAATGAAATAAGTTGCTTCAAATCCTCCTTTCCCTTGAGCGTTGTACTTCGACTTAGCTCCGTCTGCCTGTTTGCATGACATAATACATTAGTGGCATACTCTGTAAAGTGGACTAAATAATAAACGACGATATCAGAGCAGAAAGTAAAGTTGAAATTCTATTCATTGTCGTGTTCAGTCCAACCTAGCACTGCTTGCAGACCAAACATACTCTAGACGACGTTAGAAATACATACCATGGGTGGGAGCTTGGCAGCGAGAAGCTAACTAGCAGACTGTTTAGGATGGAAATGTGAATAATTGAAAGGAGGGTTTGGCTTGATCATATATATATAGATATTGGAGTAGAGGGGACCTTGTATATAACGTCCATAGGCCACCTTCTTGTTCTTATCGTCATTTTTCTCCTCTCTGTTTCTCTATACAATACAAATATATCTCAATTCTCACAGTCGGGTTTAATGTTTACTTCCACAAGGCGTTGCTAGTGGAAAGGTGATAGATACATCATATAAATGTATATGTAGAAATACTTTTGATCATTCCTCGTGTTCCATGGCGATTAATATTTGACTCAGCCTCCTTTTAAACAGTTCATTACAAATCTTGCATGTATAGAAATTAATTCAGGAGGATGATATTTCTTAACCATAATATTATTTTCCGTTTTAATCATGTTGGGGCCATTCAGTTTATATTTATTCTTGGAAACTGTTATCGGAGATTGTTCAGGGAGATGGACTTTTTACGTGCTTTTAATTGGTCATACTTCTGATTTTATCAATGTCATCAAAACTGGTCTAGTCTAGTCAATTCAACCGGTAAAATCGGGACGTGCCTAAAACTGGGCCCAGATTTTTTCTTAAGGACCGCCTGGAATGTCTCGTTTTCTCATCGATTTTATATTAAACACCAATCCAATCTCGCATTGGATGGGTTTAGTGCCCTAACGTATTAGTTTTTTCCCCTCAAATAATGAAATGTATTATATTACGTGTAAGCAGGCGCAGAATTAAGGTTGAACCAATAATAATAGTAGTAGTAGTAGTAATAATAATTAATAAATAAATAAATTTCTAGACCGTAAATTGGGTCGAGGGACTGGACCAGGCTACATCCACTCGTGCATGTAAATTAAGAATTGACATACAATTTTATATTTCAGTTTTGGGCAAAATTAACTGATATTCCATGTTGATTTTAGACCGAATATGAAAATTTTACAAAGTGCATATTTGATCCAGAATAAAATCAGATTATTTTGCATATTGTGATATTTTGAATTTGGAAAGAAAGAAAAATTGATTAAATATGGAAGAGTAATTTACCATTATACCCCTAAGTGCTTTTTTTTTTTTTTTTTTTTTCATAACCCTACGAAGGGTATCAGAATCAAACAATAATTTGTTGATACTGTTTTATGCCAAATGCATGTAATTTATTCTTCAGTGGTCCCATCAACTTTTCCTTCAACAATCGAGATCAAACAGACCGCAAAGTGAGTTATGAAAATGATTAGAAGGCTTGTTACTTGTGCTTACTAGTTACTAGTACTAAATTATGAAATTTGATATATGAATTTATTTTATTTGAAATAATTTATAATCAATAAAACTCTGACCATAAAGGGTAATATATTGCCAATCCACAATTTAACATTGAAATATAGGGTCTAGAAGTCGAGTAGATCAGTACGAATATTCAATAATTGAACCGTCATCCATTATCCTCATGTATGTCGTAAATGAAATCATAAATTACTAGAATCCCCATAAGATTTTTAAAAAAGAATTATAAGCTAAGCTAACAGTATAAATTATCTTTTCAATATATAGTAAAAAATAAAATAAAATATGTTAGCAAATATCTAATAGAGCATTAACATCAAATTTATATAATAATAAAAAAGTTAGAAAAACAACAATAAGTACTAAATCGTACGAATATTATTAACTACATAAATTCATTCATCCGAGAACAATATAACAACCAACATGATCGACTATTTTGTCCACCTCATCATTTCATTTGCATCACATCAGATCGTTTGATCAAGGTAAATAAATTAGGGGAATTATCAAAAATGTCACTTTTTTGAAAATTGCTATAAAACTTTTGATGTGCACTAAATTTTATAAAAAAATGTCACTTTTTTGGTGGAAAATGTCCAAATTACCCTTAATCTCTCCTTTTTAGGAGCATTAAATGCTCATTAATGGTAGTCTCCAATTCAATCAATTGTAATGATTTCATTATTTAATTTGTATATTATAATGATTTGATAAATGTATATTATATTGTATAATATGAGTTGACTAAAAAAAAAAGAGAAAAGACGTAAAAAAAAATTTAAAAGAAGCAAAAATAAGATAAAAGAAGCAAAACAATCCTAGTTCACATCAAATACATCCCTTCTTGAAAAAACCCTCCATTTTCTTTCATGTTCTTTATTTCTATATCAACAATATATTGCTATTCAATTCATCATCCATTTGGAGAGGTTAGTTATTACAAATTATTTATATTTTTATGTAATAACTTATTATTTTTCACATATTAAAAGTAACATGATTATCAAAGTGAAGAAAGCATTTAAAATCACTATTAATGATGATGGTATTGTTTTTTCTTTTTCAAATCATTTTAAAGGGAAAATATACCAAAAATATTTAGGCAAATGTCAACTATTTCATATTTAATGAAGCAGTCATTTGTTTATGGAGATCTGTAGAGCAATGAAATAATTGTTGTAGTTGAGAATTGATTATAACCATTAATATTTTGGAGAAAGTAACAAACAAACATGCCTTAAACTTGTCGGCGGTCTCGACAGTTTATCTGTCGATCTCGACATTTATAAACTATCGAGATCGACAGATAAACTGTCGGGATAGAGTTTTAAACTGTCAAAAGCGACAGTTGAAAACAGTTGACACCCTGCATTTCACATTCTCCTATTGTATCGGTTTAAATATTCGAAAGTGCCCCTTTGATACTATTACATATCGACATATTGACTGTTCATAATTCTTATCGTTGTAATCCCTTTATTTTAGGTATGAACACCCATTTGAGATTCATCGTGTCGCGTGGGGAAGGTTTATTTACGCGGATGACGAATGGAAGTGGACAGGGGACAAAACCACATCCATTTTATGCCGAGAAATACTATCCTAGCCGGACTTCTGTTACGGTTGAATGACAAAGTTGGCATTATCGATCCGCACATCGAAATGAAATTGAAGTTCAAAGTCCAGAACATGAATATACCGCCAGCTGAAATACATGAAGATGAAGACCTCATGTGGTACATATTTGTTCATAGGAAACTGCTCTGTGCGTTACTATTGTGGAGACAAATATGCAAACTATTACCATGGGGAGGGATACGAATTTGCGTGACCATTTGTTTGCCGCAACGGATGTTCACCAGAACTTAGAACACGATGACGTGAATCATGAGCCTAGTTCCCCGTGAATAATGCAGTCGAAACGGGGAATTTTGATGATAGGGCTGCACCTGTAGACGATATGTTGGACGACCCATTCAATGGTACAGATGCTGCTAGTATTGCAGACGTTGACGCCCGAATGTCATCACAACATACTCGTTCGGGTACAGACCAATGGATTACAGCTGTGGATACACCCGATCTTGTTGAACGGCAAATATTATTGAGCAAGAAAGAGTTGTACTCGAAAATTCGTGTATTTGCTTTGCAAGACAAGTTTGAATTTTATGTAGGCAGGTCAAGCCGCAAAATATTAACCGTTGCATGCATAGACCGTAATTGCAAGTGGATATTACGTGCTTCGAGTGTGAAATAGACTTCTATATTCATGATCCGAAAATTCAACCATGTGCACACATGTTCGGTAGATATCTGTCGTAACGCACATCGACATGCCACTACTTCTGTAATTGTCGAGCACATTTTGGAAAAATTGGATAATCCATACCGGTTGTACGATCCTACCGCTATTGCATATGACATAGAACGCGAGTTTGGTGTTAAAATAAGTTACCAAAAAGCACATTGACAGTAGTCACTTGAAAGGTCCATACAAAGGTACACTTTTGCTGGCAACCGGCCAAGATGCCAACAAAAAGATATATCCCTTGGCACGGGAGATCGTTGATGCTGAAACAAATAGATCGTGTTTGTGGTTTATGTCCAACTTGAAAGAACTTATAGGAGACTCTGCTGAATTGGTGTTTGTTTCCGACCGGAAAAATAGCATTTCCAATGCCATTGCTCACCTATTTCCTTAGTCCCGTCATAGGTGCTGTATCTGGCATCTAGAAAAGAACTTAGTCAAGCGGTACAACAACGCAAGTGTAATATTTCTATTCAAACGAGCTGCACGAACTTCTCGGGTCGAAGAGTTTGAAAGACTTATGGGACAGATCCGTAGGGTAAGTGCAAGAGCGTACGGGTACTTAGAGCGAACAGGTTTCTGGTTTTGGTCACGAGCACTGTTTGTTGGTCAAAGGTACAACATTTTGACAAATAACAATGCCGAATCTTTGAACTCAATGTTGAGACATGCCTGTTCATTAACGATCACGTGCTTGATCGAACACATTCGACAAACTATGCAGAAATGGTTTCACGAACGTCGAACCAGTGCAACCACATGTACTGGCATGCTGTCGTTGAGGATGGAGAACGAGTTACGGACAACGTTTGAAGCAGGTACAAGGCTTTGAGCTCATGGCTTGACAGAACAGTTAACACAGGTTGGAATATCCAATGACATGGACATCGTCGACTTCTCTAATAACAGCTGCACTTGTCGTGAGTTTCAAATTAATCGTATACCATGCGTTCATGCCACTCGAGCTGCCTGCTTGCGAGGAATGTCATTGTATGACTTATGCTCACCGTATTACACATCGGAATATTGGAGAGGTATGGCGAAGCTATATATCTCATTATGCGTGAAGTGGACTGAATAGTCCCATACGAAAATTACAGGTACTCCTATTAGGCCACCCCATGTACGTCGTCCTCCAGGTAGACCACCCACAAGATGTCAGCGATCTAGATTCGAGTCCGCCACCGGACTCAGGAAATGCACTCGCTGTGGTGGACTAGGTTATAATCGGAGCACATGTTCTAACCTCATTGTACCACGGACCGTTTAAATATACGTTTGTAATAAATAGGCTTTTGTTCGAAAGTGGTTGAAGTTGTATGTGAACTGGCACTCCTATGTCGTTTGTAATGAAAGAATGTAAATATTCTCATTTTGTTATCATTATCGTTTGTTTGCTGACATTAGTGTTTCGTATGATCGCAACTAGTTAGAAGATATTGTAGTTGATATCCCTTCAGAACATCTCGACAGTTAAAGTGTCAGTCCCGACAGATGGTTATAGAGTATATAATATGACTTGTCCGAAATATTTATGCCTACATGATTACACTGTTACCCATTCAACTCTCTACTTATACAGATATTTTGAATCATGACATTTCTTTTACATTCCATTATTGTTTCTTAACAGCAGATATCGTCTTCTAATTTAGAGGGCTGACCTGATTAGTACTTTTTTCATACGGACATATTCATAAGACTCCACATACATGTAGACACCTAACTCCACCTACAAGGAATTTTAAAAATAACTTATTTTTCGATGCTTTCAAGTTCATGTATTAAGCCAGAACCAAGTAATCCCGACCAACCTACGTTGTCAATACAGTGAATTTGTTCATTCGAGGGTACGTCAATTTTCAGTAAACAAGGGATCCATACAGGGGAACACAAGTTTCATACGTACACAAATGAACCTATACTCTTACATCCCGACAGTTAATCTGTTGTTCCTGACAGTATACATGCCGTTCCCGACAGATTGTTTTTGTCCTTGTCCATAGTAGGTCCAATACCAAAATCTACCAAAATATGAAGAAAACAGTACGTAGACAATGGAGGTGCTCTTGGTCACCATTGCCGAACTATGTTACCAGATCCATTCCTGACAAAATACGAACTATACATTATTTCATACGCACCACATACCCATATTAACCACTTCATTGATTGTCTACACTCGAACCATCTTGTTCGAAGTCATCGGAGCTGATCACAATGATCTTGGGAGATGGAACATGAGCCAACCACGCGTCATCGTCAGACTCAACTTCCACCGGAACCATCAGTGGGACGACCCAATCAAGCACAGTCTTTGGACTTTGGGAAGCTTCACTTGCAACATCGTCGAGGTTCGAAAAAGGAACAACAGATGTGGCTCTCGTACCACGTTCAGAACTCGCTTCGTCATCGTCCGAAGCAATGACGATGGGACATAGTGGGGACGAACCGGGTGTTAGTAGCGGCTCCTCATGCTTGAATGATTCATTGCTCCCTGTTGACGACGCCATTGTTCTGATATGAAAATATTTACTGAACCTGTTGAGGAGTAAACATAGAGACTGCAATATGAATTTTCAAGTGTGAATATTTCAGGTGTCAATGATAATGTGGACTTACCATGCTATATATAGTAGATTTTTTGGAGAGATGCATTGAAGCTCATTTAGTGCCCCAACCACCAAGCCCCGTACAATTTAAATTTGATAGACAACTATGTGATGGATGATGGTCTAATTATACTTAAATCCCTAGGATATGTCCTTATATGGTGGCTGGGGTTGGAAGATTAGTACCAATGTGAGTTATGACTATTGAATTATTCTGGCAATGACTAAAAATGAGCTAAGCACGGTTTTCAATTCCATTTTCAGTTTTTGAATGTGGTGCTCCTTCCAGAAATTGAGAAAAAAATTTTCAATTTAACATCATGTGTAAGATTTTTTCCATGTTGCTGCATGTATTTGTTATAACATTACATGAAATACAACTTAGATGAATTGTGCTATGATGTTACTTATTTTTTACTCAGTTTAAAAACGAAAATCATAATGTATTCACGAGATTCTGATATTATTGTCTTTTAGATGACGCATCGAACTACACTGCATACTCTCGAGCTAGTGAAAATTCCTAAATACATAATTTATAGTCACATGCGCATGCATTAAGAGCAACAAATGACAACTTTGTACAAGTAATTCTGATATAACACATTCAGACATGATGTACAAAAATCGAGGATCGTCCATGTGCGCCTACGTACTGGGTTTATACAACATTCATTGCAACCAACAACAATTACATGAACTAGCTTGGCAAGCAAAAGTGTAACTGAATTTGGACCTGTTTATACAAAAATCATCGCAACCAATAACATAAAATTTGTTAATACAAAGTTCACCCCTTTCAAGCACCGTACGTGAACTCCAAGTTGCGATGCAGTGACCATGTATGGGGTTGAGGCATCTTCATGCATTGTCATCTGCACTTCAATAACCAAAAATGATCTAATGAGATCAAAGTTATCTTGGAAGTTAATTTGGTAAACGCAAATATAC